CACCCTGCTGGCCTCCGCTGGCGAGCGCGCGCGCGCGGGGAGCAGGGCCTGACCACTGTTCCGTTCACCTCGTCGCGTTGCTATGGCTGTTGTTTGACACGTCGCCCGGTGGCAAAGTGCAGCTCACCGTCCGTATGCTTACATCTAGCGTTTTGGACCGTTTAACACGTGAGCAGCGGCAAGGTGATGCACGATGTTGGATGGTAGACCTGAACGGCATCTTGCTGCACCGAAGCCTGGCCAGGGCGGCTGCGGTGCGTAATTCCGAGGGTCGGAGCTGGCTGACTGGGGGGCTGATGTGTAGCATCATTGGTTTCAGCTGTTGGAGAGCGTGAGAGGCAACACCGTTAGATTGTAAGTCACGGAGATTTTTGGCTCGTCTTTCGCGGATGATATCGGCGAATAGCGCCCACTTGCGCGCGCACTGCACCCAATATCGCTCAGTATCGCTCAGTCGCGTCCAGTCGCACCCAATAGCGCCCCGCTAGCGCCCAATAGCGCCCGCTGAACGCCAGATGAGGGAGATGTATTACCTTCGCTGTGCGCGCTACTCGGCCTTTTGTGGCGCGCTATTGGTCGCCGTGGGGACGACCAACAGCTTCCGTGAGTTAATCTTCTAAGCGTTGTGCACGGGTTTCGTTCCGGTCCTTGTTTCTTCTGGGCTGCTTTTTCCAGATGGGCATCGGATGCCGATGTTGCTTCCTTGCCCATTTTCCAGAGGAGCGAACATGGCATGAGCACAATTTCTCGGAGGGCCGCGCGGATCTCTTGGATCGGCGCTGGACCCTTCTCCTTGGCGTGCGGAGCGCGCCAGGGGCGGCGCCAGAGGCACCGCCTTGTCGGTTTTTTGCTGGTGTTGGGAGCAGAACGAGCACCACCACCACGACCATCTGGATGATTCAGGATGAGCTGATATGCGGGATGCATGTGTGCATGATGTCCCGCGAGAGCGTCCGAAACGATATACACCACCACCACCCACCACCACCCACCACCCACCACCACCACCACCACCACCACCACCACCACCACCACCACCACCACCACCACCACCACCACCACCACCACCACCACCACCACCACCACCACCACCACCACCACCACCACCACCACCACCACCACCACCACCACCACCACCCCTTACCACCCTCTGCCTCCATCCTTCAGGTGGTGGTGGTGGTGGTGGTGCGTTTACTTCTCCGTATCCCGATTTGTTTTTGCTGGAAATCCCGCCCCCTCGGGCGTTTCGTAGCGGGGGGGGCGAACAAGCCAGACCTGCCTCACATCCTCCTCCCCCACTCCTCAAATCCTTCTCCTCCTCCTCCTCCTCCTCCTCCTCAGCCTCCTCCTTTTCAACGTTGAGGGATTTTAAGCTCTGGACTCGCAGCGTTCAAGCTTCTCCTCCTCCTGGAACCTGGAACCCCGTGGCGTGAACGTTCTCCTGAACGTTGCCTCCCTCCTCTTCCTCTCCTCCTCCTCCTCCTCCTCCTCCTTTTCACCCCTCCTCTCGTCGGAATATAAACAAAAACACGACAGAAGGCTTTTGCTATTCTCGGCCTCGGGGGTCTTGACCGGGACCCCGGGACCGTCAAAAAACGAGTCGGTATGAAACGCTGTTCCCTGGGAAGGGGGACCTCTGGGGGTCGGCGTTATGACAAACACATCATGGCGCTGGGGGTCTTTTGGGAAGGGGCGTGGATCGAGGGTTGCAGGAAGCGGGCCCTGCCCAGGGCTCCGAAGGTGCGCGAAGGGTGGACCTTTCTTCAGCCCCCTTGTACGGTACAGTCAACCCGCGTAGTAAGGATGAGCAACCTTTCTGGGGTACCCTTGCATCTTTGCCCCTTCGGTCCATTCTTAGCGGCTCTCGCTGGATAACCTCGCTCGGAGAACGTTCAGATGGCCCTCCAAGGCCCTTGCACCCCTTCCGCGCATCCTTATTGTACGGGTTCACAGCAGCTTCACGTCGTGCTGACCGGCGGCAATCCGGCCGCCGGCGCTCACGAGGCTGAACGCCGCGGGCGACTCGCGACCCAGAGCCGATCGGTGTTGAGCGATCTGACGTCTCGGACACGGCCGATCTTTCAGGGCCAAACGATCCCCGCGGTGCCGGGAGCCGCCGCCCGGTCGACGTGACCCGAGCCCGCCGCACCGTCCTGCCTGGCGGCGCGCAGAGGGGGGTATGGGGGAGGGGGGAAGGCTCCTTAGAAGGGGGCTGCTCCTTAGAAGGCGCCGGCCTCACATCTGCAGACAGGGCCCGCGCCTTCTAAGAAGCAGGGGTGCCTCTAAGAAGCCTTCCCCCCTCCCCCTGCCCCCCTCCTGCGCGCCGCCGACCTGCGACGCGGAGCGCTGCCCGACGCCCGGGGCACGGGGGCGCCCCCCCCCGAGGGGCCTCGCCGCCGCCAGAGCCCGGCACGGGCCTCTGGCACCCGGCGCCCCGGCCCGTGCCGGGAGGCCGAGGGCGGTGCCGCCCACCGGGAGGCCTCTGGGGGACCGCCTGCAGGGGGCCGCGCGCGGGCCCCCCCCCCCTATACCCCCCACGACCTCGGAGGGGGAGGGTGGGGCTCCCTTCGCTCGGGAGCCCCCGAGCGAAGCGAGCCCCGCCCTCCCCCTCCGAGGTCGTGGGGGGTAGGGGGCCACGGGCTCGCACGTGGCCCCCCGGCTTGGGCCGCGCAGGGGGGGCAGATGCGCCCTGCCCGGCGCCTCTGCCGAGCCGCCTCCAGGGGCGATCGGGCGGCACGAGGGCCACGAGGGGGAGCCGGCGCCCGCTCTTGCTCAGGAGGGGAAAAAACACAGAGACACAATTCATCGGCAATCCCCCAGAAAATAAGGGAAAATATTGGAATTGGGGGGGAGGACAAAGACCATGAGGATATAAGAAAATATGGGGAATCTTTTTACTTGTGTATTTATTTGTGTGTCCTGGGGCCCCTTCACTTGCCGCCGCGCTGGCCACCGCCCCCTGCCCCTCCGAGCGGGGAGCCAGGGGGGCTCGTGCCGTGCCCGGCCCGTGCCCAGCGGCTCGCGCGAGGGGAGCCCGGGCCGCGGGGCCGCGGGCGTGGGCACGGGAGGCCTCTGTGGCCGGCTTCGGCCTCCTGTCAGGAGGGGAAAACTATCCCAGTGCGACCCTACCTAGGAGTTGGAGGATCTAGGGAAGCAACATCTATGTGAAGCTAAATTAAGCTAAGATGAAGCTAAGCTAAGATGAAATAAGCTAAGCTAAGATGAGATGTGCAACGTTAAGCTAAGGGGACGTAACTGGGGGAACCGCGGGGCGGATACTGGGGGAACCGCCCGGGGCGAGTTGCACTGCCCGGCCCTATAAGCATACCGAGTAAGAACCCTTCTAGGCAGAGCCTAGGTAGGGAAAAACACAGACATAATTCATCGTCGATTCTCCAGAGAATCGGGGAAAATAATACGTGGGGGGGAGACAAAAACACAGAAAATATAAGAAAATATGGGGAATCCTTTTATTTGTGCGTATTTATTTAATCGCTTCGCTCATTCCGCCGGCCCGCTATTTGGGGCCTCTTGGGGCCGTCTTGGGGGCCTCTTGGGGGCTTCTTGGGAGCGTCTTCGGGCTCCTTGGCGGCGTCTTCGGCTTCCCTGGGGCCTCTTAGGGGGCTCTTGGGGGCCCCTTGGGGCGGGAGGTGGGGTAGTCGATTGCAGCCACCCCCTCGGAGGCCTCCATCCTCGTGCGGGGTGGCGAAAAATAGCCTCCCCCCTGGGGATCGCCCGGGACCCGGCCGGGGATCAGCCGGTGTACTTCTCGTCCGGGGCCCCCCAGGGGCCGCCCCGCGCGCGCGAACTAGAAATATTGTTAAGTAGTTACCGGAGATCTTAGCACGCCTCTGGCCCGTTGGGCTGGCGAATTTGTGTGTCCCAGGGCCCCTTCATTCTGGGGTCTTGGCCGGGCGCCGAGAGAGGGGGGAGAAGCAAAGCCGAGGGCGGAGCACAAGAGCACAGACTCGGCACGAACGAGATGGGTACAGAAACATGGGTGCAATGCCCCAAAGCATTTCCGGTTCATTTTGAACAGGACTCGCTGTCCGCGCCGCCGCGGCCTGTGTCCACTTGAGACAGAAGGCCGCCTACCCAGCAGCGGCCGCTGTTGGTTTGGGACAACGTTTGTTGTTGGGCGTTGTATCATTTTTTCCGTACCCATTTCGGGCGTCCAAACAAACGTTGTGACCCCACAGGGCGTCGCAATCTTGCTTCACGGCCGCGTGCCAGGCTGCGGCAGAATTTTCGCTGTCTTGCCAGGGCCCCGGCAAAGCCTCCTCACCCCCCGCGGCGCGGACAGCGTGGGCAAGAACATATTCCTTTCAGGTTTTCCCGGGGCGCTTCCGTTTTCGCTTGAAACGACGCGGGTTGCAAACCCGGTCCTTGGCAAGAAGTCTAGACCTCATAGGGTCGACATGGTGAGCAAAACACGACGTCGGAGTCTTGGGACCGAGGCTCGTTCCCAGAAGCACGCGGAGTAAACAGACGCGTTGACCTTGGAGCGATGGTGAGGTAGTGAGAGGCTTTTTCGGATGAGCAACCGTTGTCTACCTTTTTCTCCTCTCTCCAGTTGCTTCCCGCGTCAGTCAGGAATTGTGAGCGAGCTCACAGCGGGGAGGGTCGGTGTCAGTTTTTCATCCTGTAGCTGCTCTTGGACAGTGCCTCCTCGTTCCCTCGTTCCCCTTCTCTAACTCCTCCAGCTGAGTTCCGAATGAGGCAGGGACAGGAAGGTGGGCGAGCTCGCAGCGGCGAGGGCAGCTTGTAGTCGTTCCATAGGTCTCGGTCTTGGGACTCAGCCTGTTGGATTCCGAGGGGTTTACCCTCCTACTCCGCCTTGCCTTCCTCTCCCCTCCATGCAGTCGCTATCGCCATTGACACTGTTATACTGATCATCCTCTACATACTTAGTAGCTCAAGGCCGCTTTTGCTACGCAGAGGGTGTTCCTTTCAAGTTTGGTCAGACGCACGGCCTTCGAGGCATCAAGATTTTTGATCGAATGTTGCGCTGCACAGCCGGAGTTCAGGCAGCCCTCCTGCTGGGAGGGGCCTCGGCACAGGACCTGTTCGTTCCAAGTCAGCCGGGAACGAAGTTCGGCAAGGAGTACACAGTGGACGAGCGTGGCTTCAAGATTCGGAGGCGCACCAGTGGAGCATGCAGAGGAGGAGTAATTAGGAGACAGGTAAAACGAAGGAGCGATGAGGAGGGGAAGGAGGATGAGGAGGACGAGGAGCAGGAGGAGGAGGAGGAGGAGGAGGAGGAGGAGGAGGAGGAGGAGGAGGAGGAGAAGAGGAAGAGGAGGAGGATTCGAGGAGGAAGAGGAGGATCTGAGAAGGAGGAGGAGGAGAATTTGAGGAGGAGGAGGAGGAGGAGGAGGAGGGGGATTCGAGGAGGAAGAGGAGGATCTGAGAAGGAGGAGGAGGAGGACTTGAGGAGGAGGAGAAGGAGGAGGAGGGAATTTGTGGAGGAGCGGAAGAAGGAGGACCGACGCTCCTGAGGTACACCGCAAGCAACGACATGCTGGAAGACATTCCTGCCAACCGGAGGCTGCACTGGATCTTCAACAATTCTTTCGCGGTGGACATCAAAGACTTCCCCGAGCTCTGCGACTCCAGCATCGTGGAAGATACGTGCAAGCTCTTCAACGGGGACACGGATACCGACTCCATCAAACCGTCGAATGTGCAGGGCGTGCTTTCGGCCACCGTCGAGAGCGTTGCGGACCTCTGGGAAGCGGTCGGCCTGCCCATTCCGGCGAGGTGCATGGACTTGTGCCACGCGGTGGTGAGCTGGCTTGCTCGGTAGCAAATCATGGGAGCCTTTTTGTGTACCCTCGCAATTCCTTCTTTAGAGAACATTCGCGTCGACTAGCGTCTGGTAATCGATACGATTGCGCCGACTTAGCGTCGACTCGCGTCGATGAATGTTGAGTAGCGTCGATTTAGAGTCGATTAGCGTCGATCAGCGTCGATTCGCAAGAGCCAACAAGATGGTATGGAGGGCTCCCATGAGTTGCCACCGAAGGCTTGAGCAGCACGCCCACGTCGTCCCTCCGAAGAGCGACCTCGGGTGTTCCCAGAACGAGAAGACTGGGAAGCACGACTGCGACATCGACCTATCCCCCCCTTCTGTCCACGATTCTGGGGGTTCGTCGGAGACGGAGCTCCCGGTTTTCGACCACGACTTGCTGGACGAGAACAACCAGGACATTCCTCCCGATAGTCTGGACGACGAGGAGGAAGACGAATTTGAGGCAGATGGGGAAGATGGTGTCGAGTACGCGATGAATGAGATTGCCGTGGAGATCGCGCACATGTTCCGGATCTATCCCGAGGTCGTGACTGCAGTCGAGATCGAAGAGGACCTGCTTGACGACGACGACAGGGCAGAAGATAAGAATCTGCGTGGCAGTCCCGAGACTGGGCGCAGGCTTTCTTGGGGCGGATCCGGCGGGGGCGGGTATGGTGGATCTTTCAGGGACAAGATCCGGATCACTGAGCAGAAAGCCATCGCGTACATCGCTACTGCAGTTCGTGAGTTTAACAGGAAGAACACCAAACGCCACATGGACAAGTGGTTCGGAAGGAGGGCTTTCAGCGACCCATCTTCCCGCAATAGGGTGAAAAATGTGCTGACGTCCGTCAATCGTATGCTCAGCCATGTCGAGTATGTGTACCCAGGCCCTGAGTGCTCCCCTAACACGTACGCCTACGTGTACCCCCAGGCTTATACTTGTGGTTCCAGTGCTGAGTACAAGCGGGATGCCTGCACGAAGACCCGTGGGGGGAAGTTCGTTTTCTACATGTGCCAGCTCACGATGAGGTCGTCCATCGACGTTCAGATCGAGACTCTCACACATGAGGGGTCGCACCACGCGACAGCGTACACTGACGATGTCTGCATGGATTACTCAAACCCGTGCAGTCAAACAGCATACGGCAGGTCCCCGTGCCAACAGCTGGCGTCGAGGAACCCGACAAAGGCATTGAAGAACGCCGACAACTACTGCTACTACATAAATGACATCACGGATGTAGGTCGCTGAGCATGGTCGGAGTGGTTTCACCATCGAGCTCCGCATGTCGTCTGAATACTTGGTGGCCTTCGGCCTGCTCCGCCACCCTTCCCGGACTTGTAGGTCAGAGGCCTCTTGGATGCCCTGTGAGGATCTCTCGGGTGGCCTTTCGGACAGCTCTTGGAGGCGGTCTTGGGTGTGCGGCGGGGTCTCTCGGGGGGTCCCTGGGGCTTGATTCGGGCCTCTTGGGGATCTCCTGGGGCCGAGGGGCGGACGGCGCGAAACGTCGGAGCTCGTGCTCCCCCTCCTGGGGCCCTCTTGGGGGCGAGCCTTGGGCCGTCTTGGCGCACCAGAGGCCCTGAGAGGTGGGGACGCTAAAATCCGTCGAACACCCCAGGCGAGTCAACTATTCAAGTGCTTACGCCACACCGACGCTTTCGGTTCTCTGAGCATTCTCTTTCATGGCCGCCATGCAATGGAGTAGCGTTGGTCACGGTTAGCCCCCAGGGACTGGTGGAGCCATAGGCATAGGTCAGCCTGGTGGCGGTGACCAGCGTTCGGGTCTGCTGTACCTTAATGTGCTTCCGTTGTGGCTCGCTCCTAGTCGACGAGGTGCATGAAATAGGAGGGGGAGGAGGATTGATAATAGAGGATGGAAGAAGATGATGATGATGATGATGATGATGATGATGATGATGATGATGATGATGATGATGATGCTGATGATGATGTTGATGATGATGATGATGCTGATGATTCTGATGATGATGCTGATGATGCGGATGCTGATGATAATGCTGCTGATGATGATGATGATGATGATGATGATGATGATGATGATGATGATGATGATGATGATGATGATGATGATGATGATGATGCTGATGATGATGATGATGATGATGATGATGATGATGATGATGATGATGGAGGAGGAGGAGGAGGACCAGTGTAAATCCAAGACTCATCAGCGATATTGAAACAAACCATCCCTCGAAGTTTCCTTTTCATAGGCCCCTGCAAGGATGCATTTCCACTGATGGTAGTGCCCCGTTGGAAGACAGCCGTTTGAAAATCTCGAGCTGTGCCAGACCACCATCACTGGGCCTTCAGCGCCGCGAATTGCCGTTACTGTTGCGTTTTGACGATCCTGAATCGTGCCAGGACCCTATTCCTGGGACTTCACACCGCATAACTGAATAACTTCTGCGCCCCGACAGTCCGACATCGCACCACCACGCAATTTCTGGGACGTCATTGAAACTTCTGTAAACCCTTAGAACGAATGTTCGCGGCGCTAAGGCGAGAGTCGTCTGTTGAACACCACCCGCCCTTCATTCGTGAAACTCTTGTAAATGTTTAAACTGTTCAATACGAATGTGCGCGGCGCTAAGGCGAGAGCCACATTTCGAGAACGGCCCCCACGCCATCCGTGGAACTCCTTACAGTTGTTGAATACGCATGTGCGCGGCGAGAAGGCGAGAGCTACATTTTTCCTTTCTTACTATATATATAACCTTCTAAATCTGTAGAACGAGAGTGCGCGGCGCTGAAGCGAGAGCCACATTTTGAAAACGGCTTTCTCGCCCGCCCACCCGTGAAACTCTTGCACATGTTGAGGATCATGCATGGCGAGGAAGTCTCAGGCGAAACGCCCGGCCCGCAAGGGCAGGAACGCGACAGAGGCAGAGTTTCTCTTGCACGCAAGAGAACGACAGCTGGGCATCCTGGTTGCCTTCGTCATGGGGAGCCGAATTCTCGCGCTTCGCGGGGTGCACGTCAGAAGCGCGCAGAGCGTGGGCAGTTGGAGGGCTCCTGGGAGCCTTTCGGATACATCTTCGGGGCGTATATTGGGGGCATCTTGGGGCCCCTTGGGAGCTTTCGGGGGCCATCTTGAGGCCTCGTGGAGGCGTCTTGTGCCATCTTCGGACGCTCTGGAGCCCTCTGGCGCCTCTGGAGGCTGTTTCGGTGGCCTCTCCGGGGCCGTCGTGGGGGCCTCCTTGGCCACCCTGTCGCCATCGGAAGCCGCCTTGGGGCCCTCTTGAGTGTTTCCTTGACAGTCTTGGGGCGCAGTTGGAGGCCTCTTGGGCCGTCTTGGGGCGACATGGGGGGCCGTTTGGGCCGTCATGGGCTGTCTTGGACGCATCGAAACAAAACATAGGGTTTTGGCGATGTTTGTTCGTTCGGCCCTCTTGGGCGTCCTCTTGGGGCCCTCTGGAGACGCCTTGGAGGCTTTTGGGGCTGTCAAGAGGGCCATCTTGGGGCTTGGGTCATTTCGAGGCCGTCTGAGGCCGTCCAGGAGCATTTTTGGACAGCCGAGGTCGCGGGACCTTCTGCTAATCACCCCCCCGTCAAACCGGCTGGACTGGACCCTTGGGGTAGGGGGTTTGGGGAGGGGCAACAGTCGCACACGCCGAGTAGACCCCAAGGGGCCCTCTTGCCTTGGCACCGCTCGGACCAGCGCCAGAAAGTCTGGACCAACGCCAGAAAGTCTGGAGCATCTTGGACCAGAGCCAGAAAAACTGGAGCATCTTGGACCATCATGCAGCATCTTGGACCATCTTGAGAGCAGAAACGCGCGCGAAATCAAACAATGTACGGGGAATGGGCGTCTGGGCGGTGGCAAGTTGCTTCTGGAGAAGTCGCGCGGGGAACCCTCGTGGAGCGCCGAGCCGCGCCTGGGAACTCCGGACGGTGAGCCCCTCGGAGAGTAGTACAGTTCTTGCGATGCCTATACTTCTGAGACTACTAGATTTCTCGGGGTGGAATTCCGTGGTGGCGATTGGTGTGTGTGTGTGTGTGTTGTCGGATGGGGGTCCGCGCTCGAACGGGAGCCCCCCTGGGAGTCCGACAATCTGTACCCATACCTATAGCGCCTTCATCTCCTCGCCCTTCCCAATATCTCCTCCCTATCGGTTCGAGTGTGTGTTGTATGTTGTTCTGCCCTCAGAACTCGAAGGGACTTGAGGACACTGTAAACTTTGTGCGTCGATGCACGGTGGTGGGATTCCGGTTGGAGAATATCGAAGACGCCCACGGCGAATCATTGTCGCCCCCTGCCTTTCGGAAGCGATTATGTTGCCGAACGTGGCGGCCAGAGCTCGACCAAGCAGCTATCGGACAATGTGCTCCCCCAGCCGTTGTGGAAATCATTCGGGGAACACGTGGGGGCGAAGAAAGAGAAGGAGGAGATGGAGGAGGATGCGGAGGTGGAGGAATAGGAGGAGAAGAGGGAGGAGGAGGAGGAGGAGGAGGAGGAGGTGGAGGAGGAGGAGGAGGAGGAGGAGGAGGAGGAGGAGGCCTGTTGGGAACCTTTGGAGGCTCCCTGGAGGCTCTCTCGCCGTCTGAGGGCGTTCCTGGCTCGCTTGACGCCGTCGGACACTGGCCTGGGGGCCTCTCTGGGTCAAGTTGGTGTCCTCCTGGGGCGCTTCGGGGCCGCCTCGGAAGTCGTCCAAGGCGTCTTGGAGGTCTCCTGGGCCGTCAGCCCTCGCGGGGCTATCTTGAAGGCCTCCTGGGCCGGCGGGGGCCCATATCTCTGAGGTCTCCTGGACGCTCGTGGGGCCATCTTGGTGGCTTCTGTCGGGGGTGGGCAGACCTTCTACCCTGACACGTCGATTGGTGAATCGTCCGTTTTCGGCTCTCGAGAGGGCGTCGCGGCCTTTATTTTCCAGGCTTGCGCCCGCCAGGTTTGGGCCCGAGGTCGTTTTCACTAAACCACGTTTTACTAAAGGGGGTTCTGTCCATCCCCGACTCTGGGGCCATCTTGGACCGTCGGAACGCCCCAAATGAGCGACGAGCACCAGAAAAGGAATGATTTCGGCCTCTGCGGGCTTTCCTGGAGGTCCTCTCGGAGGCCTCTTGGACCGTCTTGGAGGCTTTTCTGACCGTCTTGGGGGATCTTTAGGCCATATCGAAGGCGCCGACGGCGAATCACCGCCGCCCCCTCCCTTTAGGATGCACTTATGTGGCCAAACTTTTGTGCAAACTTTGGCCACGCCATTGGACCATGAGTTCCTTCAGTTGTTGTGGAAGCCCGTCGGGGGGGGGAAACGGGGGGGAGGAAGAGGAGGATGAGGAGAGGGAGGAACAAGAGGATGACGAGACGGATCGACCTTTGGAGCTTCTGGGGTCATTCTTGGGCCCTCCTGAGAGCTTCCTGGTGGCCTCTTGGAGGCCTCTTGGGGGCCTGGGGGCCTATCGGGGGCATTTGGGGTCTTTCTGGGGGCCTCTTTGGCCGTCGTTCGGAGTTCCTGGCCCGTCTGACGCCGTCGGAAGCAGTCTTGGGACGCTTCGGGGTCGTCTTGGAGGCCATCTTGGGCGTCTTCTTGGGCCGTCTTGGGGCCCTTTGGGGGCAGTCTTTGGAGCCTCCTGGGCCGTCCTGGGGCCATCTTGAATGCCTCTTGGGCAATCTTGGGGGCCTCTTGGGCTGTCTTGGACCGTCGGAAGGCCATTTCGAAGCAAATTCCGCAATCCTTCAACAATCCCAGGGCAAGACTGCATGATCTTAGCCTCTTCGGGCCTTTCTTGAGGACCTCTTGGAGGTCTCTTGGGCCGTCTTAGGGGCCTCTTGGGCGTTCTTGGCCCGTCTTGGGCTCTTGGACCATCTTGGTGGTCTTGGAGGCCTCTTGGGGTCGTCTTCCATCTTGGAGCCATCCTGAGCTCTTTTGGGGCCATCGTGCCCATCTTGGAGACATCTCGGAGGCCATCTTGGGCCATCTTAGCCGTGCTGGAGGCGATTTGACCCATGAGGGGGGACCTTCGGCGGCTTCCTGGGTGGCTGGCGAGCTGGGCCGAATCCCCCAGGGTGAGTTCCTGTTCAGACAAAAAAGCCATAAACCACCAGACATCTAGCACGCCAGGCACCCTGTGGTATATCAACAGGGGGCGGCGGATCGAAGAAGCCTATGGCGAATCACCGCCGCCCCCTGCCTTTTTGGAAGCGCCTCTGGGGCCGAACGTTGAGGCCAGAGCTTGGCCAAGCTATCGGGCCAGTTGTTCCCCGAATCGGTTTGGAAAGCCTTAGGGGAACC